TATTTTTCTACCCAAGAAAAGTGTTCGCTCTTTCAGGCATGCGTACACGATCTTCTTCGATGTGTTCAACGCTATGGGGAGGTGTGTTTTTCTTTCTCTTCATATTTTTGTGTGGAAGTCTCATCTCTAAAAACTGCAAATTAATCAAAATAGAGTGCTGAATAGTCAAATATTATGTCACTCTGTATTGAACCAAAAAATGCCTATCGTAGTTAATATTTTGTGAACAGTGAAGAATCCATCCTAAGTAAAGAGTAAGTCCAAGTATCAAATGCAACTGTTTGTAACACATCTCAGACGATGAAGGAGCCTGGCTACAAATAGTATCTTCTAGGGATTTTGATTCTCACGAGACATTAGGAAAAGCTGAACATAAGTTAGGGATATATCACATAATAGAATCAATTACTCACCTTTATATACCGTACAAATTTTCCAAAAAAAAAAACAAATTTCGTAGCAGAAGTACTTATATTTGCCCGAATCATTGCTGGTGATACTTGCATGTACTCTCAAGCTTACAAGAGTTGCTATAAAATTACTCGGCTAACTTTTCGACATTTTCGTCTTCTTTGAAACCACGATAAATCTGGTCAATCCTCTTAACCGTTCGTTCTCCCATTCTGCATCTTCATAGTAAACAGGTCAAAAAGGATGGGAACAGAAGAGAATAGATTACAGGCTCGTACGATGAGACTTTGCCATCTGAGGAAGTTTTATTCGAGCATTGTTCCATTTCACTTGGTTTGATCCACTGTAAAGGCAGAGGTACCAAAATCGTTGGCCACACCACATCAAGCTTTGTGGAAACCTTGTTTGAGCTATATAATGTAAAAAAAAATACTGGATATTCATATCTAGGCTGGATAGGATTCGGTTTTGGAAACTACTGTCAGTGATAAATTAAACTTTCAAATCTTCAAAACTTACAAACTTCAAGGATCTTGGCAATTCTAAGGAACTAATGTTTTTTCCATGACCCGTCATCACATCTATAATGCGGATCTCAGCATTTCTTCTTTCGGTTCGCTTTCTCGCATTAAGCAGTCATAAAGGTCAACAATAATTTTGCAAGTTGTTTCTGCTACTACATGAGGATTTCATCATTTTCACGAACACACATGAAGCTAGAATGGTCGTAGAATGCTGGTCGACTCGATTCTTCTTAGAACCTTGGTCATAGCAAAGCCCACGTAGATTGCAAGAGTGCTTAACAGAGAGGGATTTGAACAAGCATTGGGTACTTGATGAACTGAATCACTAACCATGCTTTACCACCCCCTTAAAAAACTTCGAAAAGTAGGAAATCCAGCTAGATAAACGCGAATTCGTTCAGCGTAAAACTTATTGTGAGAGTGAAGTCAGTGAACAAATAATTTGAAATGAATATTCATGGTGTGGAAGGTAGATAGGTCGAAAGGACAATTGAAGTCGCTAATCAGAAAGGATCAAAAGTTGAAAAATAACTTGCAAGAGAGAGTAAATAAAAAGTCATCCATGAGGAAACTGTCTACTTCATAATTTATTATTGTACACAAAAACCACGGCGCAAAATGTTGTAATGTAGGAAATGTCGAGAGAAGTATGTCCACCTCCACATGTACAATTGAGAATTGAATCTCGAAGTATGAAGGCCATGTCGAAGATTTATTACATAAAAGTGATCAAAAGAGAGTTTTTTTACAGGTGCACGTCTCGAAACGTCCTGTCGGTTCAGTGTACTGGAGTCCGCACACTTTGAGAAACGTTCCGATTGGATGCGATTGTATGTGGCCGGTTGATCGATATGGACATCAAGAATTGTAGAACTCAATTCGAAAATATATTCTCGACTCCTGTTGTGTTTTAATCGATGTCGACTTTAACATTTCGTCGAATATCTGGGGATTTGTTAGCGCGAATCCCGTGTTGTTTCCGGTTTGTTGAGTTGGATATTCTCTAGGAAACTAGTTAGGGAACGGCTGAGAGTGGTCTAGGTGTAGAAGGAGAACATGGGAAGCTCATACATGTACTACATTACTAGCCACATTAGTTGATAAGTACATTAGCGAAGACAGTTGTCCAGACTAGCGCATCTGTGTTGGCTCAATATTGCTGGTTGAATGAACCACCGAAGTTTTGTAGTAGATTTAACAGGTTAATGCCTATAATGTGACTATGACAAGATGTACGTGTTACACAGATCACAAAAGGTATCTCTTGCACGCTTCTGAAACTAGCCATACTGTCCTCATGGGGGTTAACCTTGTCTTTGAAATGTCTTTTTGTTTCGATGTAGAACAAACAGCGAGCTCCGAAAGACCAAGGAATGTGATACTCCAGGGCAAATCCAGGAGAAGAAAATACAATTAAGCCAGTTTGCTTTCAGTACTTGTGTTTCTTTCTAACAATGCCTTTCCCTATGAAAAGATATTACCAACGATCCGATTAGTGTTTTATATGATTTACGACTTATAAAATTGAGGTTTGAAGTCAAATCGCTTGACAATCCACACATGCTGGCCTTTTCTTCCACACTGCTCACAGTCTAGTTTCATCTTTGAATCTAAGTTTGAATACAGTAGACCGGATGGTACCGTCTACATGCTTATTCGTAGCTGTAAGCTACCGACTAGAAATGGTAAAAACCACAATTTCACATGGTTTTGATCAAGACACGTTTTACGTTCCCTACATTAATCGGGATTACAAGTGAAATGTGGCTCTATGAAGCGGGCGATACAGCCGAAACCTACGTAAGCCACTAACTACAAATCTCGAAAAGGCTCAAAACATTCTCTAAAACTAGTTTTATCTCTACATTTGACATTGTAGCATTACAGCAATCTTCAATTTAGAAGCCTGTCAATATAATACTTTTCCAATCACATACATTTTGTACAAAATACAACAGTTGATCTCTTGCGTTGCATTTTTAAATAAAATGACATCAGGCCTGACCACTATATTTTAGCGATTTTGATAAAAAATACATAATTACAGTCATTCAAACTTGTTTAGCGCCCAAAGACGAAATAAAGTCTTATATCACACAGGATATGCCCACAAGCAAATTTTCCTTCTATTCTTCTCTCTCTCTCTTTCCTCTCTGTCTGCGAACCTCAATTAAGATGATTTCGGACGCTTAGAACTTAGAAATCATGATCATACTTAGTAGAAGTTGAATATTGCTACACGCTAAACACCTTATATATCTACTCTGATTCTATTTAATACACACTCTCACGTTATCAGCAGTCTTTACAGTACCATTGCACAGACTCAAAATGAATTCTATTCATCTGTGGGACAACTTTTCAGATGCTAGCTGTATATGCCAGAGCTGGTAGCACAGTGGCGATGTCGTTCAATTCATAACCGGCCCAGCCGAGACATACGTTGGTTCTATTTTCGGGCCCACGTAGCCTTTCGTCAAGCCAGAGATCAGAGATTTGTGCCAGATCTATCCAAGACAAGCTCATTTCCTCTAATCTACGTAGAAACGCTCAAGCAAAGCCTCAGAATTCTTGAGAGAATTCACTAGACCAGCATCCACTGATTCGTGACGAAGATCAGCAGATCCTCGAACAGCAATCGAACTCGCACGCAAAAAGATCAAAAAGATGAGACACTCGAAGATAATATGTAGGCTAAAACCTGAGCTCTCGGCATGATCATCGCCGAAGAATGCTCCACACGTTCGCCTTTATCGAGTCATTGAATGAGGTGACTGGTATATATCTGGCCTTTACAATGACTCAACGTCCTGAAAGCGCTCTTTACCGCATGTGGCGCAGTGGTTGAAGGTGCTCTGCGTCGCACACGAAGTCAATGGTTCGATCTCGCGCTCATGGCTCACCAAGCCATCCATACCTACGGGGTTGGTAAATTGGTACCAGACAGGTCTCAGATTTGTCTGGGAGGATAAGCAGCACTGACTCGGTTCAGCGGGAGGCCACCACGAGCTATTGTAAATGCCAGATATGCATTCAATCACCTCAAACGAAGTTAAAAATTGAACTCGAATGCATGGCGCATACCTCAGGGATTGATCAACGCCGAGAGCTTTATCCTTTATCCTTTTGCAATGACTCGGCGGTAACCCAGCGATGTATCGAGTCAATGCTACCTCACATAGGTCTGGTACAGGTTCACCAACCCAAGACGGATGGAAGGCTTCGGTGAGCAGGAACCATCTACCACGTGCGTAGCGCAGAGATACGTCTAACTGATGCCGCTACTCGTACCCCACTGTACGATTTTGCTATAAAGATATTCACGTATAACAGATGCAAAGAAACGAAATGAATGCAAGTACTAAGATCCGCACAGGGTGATACCTGAGATGTATGGTGAAATTATACTGAGGAGAAATCAGTCCTAGAGAACTCTCTCTCTCCCTCCCCCCGCAACTGCTGACGCCAGGAATATCATCCATGTTGGTTGAGCCGTTGAGGTGAATGAAAGGATGAAAAATAAAGCTCTCGGCGTTGATTGATTCCTGACGGATGCGCCGTATATTCGTAGTCGATTTCTAGCTTGACTGATAGATTTCATATCTAGTCTGTACAATGACTAGCGGTGGCCTAATGTATCAAGTCAGTGCTGTTTAACCTCTTAGACAAGTCTGGGACCAATTCACCGACCCCAGAGGGATGGAAGGCTCGGTGAGTTATGACATGAGATTGAACCGTCGACCTGATGTGCAATGCACAGCACTTTTAACCACTGCCCCACATGCACTCTATTAAGTGAATACTACTGAGTGAATGGGAAGTGCAATAAAGAAGTTTGTAGAAGTGAAATAAAGATTCGAGAACGAATCATCTACGACTCATGGAAGCCAAAGTGCACTTACATTGACTATTAAATGAGGTCGAATTGCGTTAGCCAAGTTGTTACCACACAATGGCGAACTATGATGGCCCGTAAGCACTCAGCCATACTCAAAAACATATACAAGATTAATTCTCGAACATCGAAAAGAATTATTTATTTATTCGCTTTTTGAGTTGTATTTGAACTCCGGGCGAGAGTTTAACCCGCTTCTCACCCTTTCCGAAGGGCGCGTGCTAACCATTGCACTACCGGGGTTTCTATTCAACTCGCTCGACGTTTCGGACATATCGGTGAACAATTGGAACAAATCAATTGGTCGCCCTATAGAAGCATTCCACAAATGTTGCGGAAAGTATAGATAGACGGCTTCTCTAAAGCTACCACGCTACACATTGATCAAAACCAATACACTGACTCAATAGCCATTGATAAAAACGTAATTTTAGTTTCGGATAATACTTTGGAAAAAAGCAGTAACAAAAACAAATATCGTAAAAACAACGAATAACAGCTAACAATCTGCAAATGTAACATGAAAATTCAGAACTACAATAGCTCCATAACGATTGTCAATACGAAACTATTAAAATCAAATAAACACGTTCTTAAGGAGATCAAACCACGCCCCAAATCTCCTCTAAACCACTTGTAACTTTTGCACACGTTAGAGCAGCACTTAGTGGATAATTGCTTATCTTCACCTCCTGATCAGTATAATCGGTTATTATCTAAAGACAGAATTAAATGATAAGAATAATATACTAGGTGTGACATTTTGACAGATTTTTGAGCAGCTTTTCAAACACTCACCTTGCCCTTGGCGATGCCTCCGATCGCCACCACAAGTGGTGCCTCCTCTTCTGCACGAACAAGCTTATTCGGTAGTATTAATTCCTCAGTATTAAAAGTCATCAAGATTTTTCGACATCCTACAGGTAAGTAATTTGAAACAGGGTTCTTGACTACCTGAAACAAAGCTTAGAAAAACAGGCATAGATGTGGGTTTCACTGAATTCATCGTAGCATGCTGAGTCATACACAAAACTCTTAACTTCGGGAGGGCGTTGAACCCACGTTTCACTCTTACTGGAGCTCCGTGCTAGCCACTATACGATGGAGGCCCTTGTTCTGCTATCACTGACTTAAGATCAACAAGGATAATAGGTTGTAAAGTATTCAAACCACTCTCACCGTTAGCAATTTCTGTGAACTGTCAGCAGCTCTAACGACCAATTTGTGAAGAAGTTGCACTGAAAATGTTTCTGATTACTAAGCGGGAAGCTTTGCTTCTACACAAACCACGTTCTACACCCTTTTTCAAATAATGGACTATTTACGTGTCGTTTGAATCACGGTCTCCCTTGTATGCATTTCGATATTTCGCGGCAATCATTTATGAGTGATAACATTGAATGTGAATTGCACCATGAATTCCCTCCTATCTCACTCTTTCATTGAGACGTTGAGTTACACCATTTTCAGATGAAGGCTAAGCGTAGTTTTTCTTAGAACCCTAGTACAGCTGACTTGCATGGGTCCTAAATTTTCACCACGTGCAGTGTCACACTCCCGGAAATCTTAAAAAGATTTTCCTTTCGTAAGATTTTATAGGACAGAAGCAAACGTTGCGATCAATGGACTTGTCGCCAGAGGACGATGAGTCGGGCCGAAGTTGAGCCAGATTTCATTAAAAAAAACATTGTGGACATCAAATATATTAACCAGAAGTAATTGAATTTACATGTATACCCAATATATGGAGTACTGTGCAAAAACGTTTGCGTAGTGGTAGTGCAACGGTTAGCATACGCTCCCGGAAAGAGTGAGATCTGGGTTCGAATCCCGGCTGACGAAAATGATACTGTCAGCGAAGTAATAGTCAAACCACACGGTCGATGTGTAGCGAGAGCTTAGGTCTCCGGCTGACCCGGTACCTGACCGTTTTCGAAAAAATATTTTCATGGCACAGTCATATTCAAAAAAGGAGTTGTGCTACACATCGACCGTGTGGTTTGACTATTACTTCGCTGACAGTATCATTTTCGTCAGCCGGGATTCGAACCCAGATCTCACTCTTTCCGGGAGCGTATGCTAACCGTTGCACTACCACTACGCAAACGTTTTTGCACAGTACTCCATATATTGGGTATACTAATAGCTTCATACCACTGCAAGTGGCAGTCAAAATAGGAAGAATTATGACTAAATTTACATGATTTTGACATCGTTAAACTGCCCGTTTCTCGCAAACATTTTTGAATACAATTTGCCTATACTTCTCTTATATGTAGTTGTTTTGAGAACAAATTCTCATGCTACTCATGCACGAATGACCTGTAGGGGAAAATGCTACTGAAGCGGCGCGCAAGATTAGTGGAAATTGGGCCAATGACACGGTTGCAGAAATGACGGCCAGGAAGTAGTTCGCGAAGTTCAAACGTGGAGAGAACAGTCTGGAAGGTCAGTCGCGCTCGGGCCCTCTACAGGAAGCTCGATTAATCTTGCATGCTGCTTCACTACCATATTCCTCTACGCACCATTGGGTATAATCCATCTTAAAGGTAGTACAGGTAAGTTGCATATCAAAATGTTCCCAAGAAAATGCGGAATTGAATGGTAGCAAAATCACGCAGTTCTGAACATGTCTCTTCATGAATTCGGTATTTATTGCACACACACTAATGCACTATTGGCAAACTCGTAACAAAATTTTACATCAGCATACTACAAATCTAAATGCACATTCGCAGAAAAAACTTTTAAGTACTGGCGATATGTTCTTGAGATCAATTCTTCCAACTGAGTTCCCATAGAAACTGAGTGCTACAGGAGACATATTACAATCAAAAGATATCCGTACAGATTGGATTTAAACTTAAACGTTTACAAATTCAAAATAATCTGATACAATATTTTGAGCCTGAGGTTTGGTAGGCTAGCGGCATACTACGCTTCAGCGTTCTCGCAGTCGATTGGAAGGGATTGTTATATGCTTCGAATTAGTCGTGAGCCATAGACTGAAAATCAGTTAAGACCGCAGCATCAAGCGATATCTCACTCAGTCTAACTGATACATCTGTGGCGCCGCTGCTGTTAGTGGTAGGGGTGAGCCGTAGGGCGCGTGGTCCTGATGAGGGCGCGCGAAAAAGCTGAAACGTACGTATGCCGCTAGCTTAGTAAGGTTTAAAACATCCTATCAGACTATACTGAATTCTTAAGCTAGATTTCAATATAGTCGATTGAAAGGTATCGACTCCAAACTGCTATAAAACGACCTTGAATAGCCATGCTTACAAATTCTCATGTGTAAATGCATAATAAACAAGAAGGTGGCTTTCTACGTAAGAAGAAGAAGAAGTAATCAATCAATAATTCTAGTTAGAACTCACCCATGAGACCACAAAATCTATCGAAAGTTCGCGGTATTCGACACTGTGAACTCACTTGCACAAGTACATTCTTGTTAGTACGAAAGAATACCCGCAGATAACCAGCTCTATTCAATGGACTATCCAATAAATTCAATAAGCACTGAAAATGCACTTCATTAGTTCTGAGAGAAAACGACTTCAAAATACCTACCCAATACTGTTATTGAACCTCGCTATAAACATTGATATAGCACGTGAGAATGTTTAAAGCCCTCTCGAGGCTGCTATGTCAATGGCTTACGTAGTTTTCGGCGGGATCGGCCGTTTCATCAGAGCCACATGCTTCAGACTGAGCCCTACTCTAAAGCAAGGATGGGGAAAGCTATAATGCTTTGATGCTATAAAGTAGGGTTCAGTGTATGACGTGTGGCTCTAAAGAAACGGGGAATACCGCCGATACGTGCATAAGACACTGACGTACCAACCTCGAAAAGGCTTTAAACACACTCACAGACCTGGATTTTGCCACACAGTTCGAATCCATGTTTGTCTCAGACGTTGTTGCATCAACATTTAGAAAAAAACTCGATTCTTTCTGCTTAGGAGGAAACAAATGAAAAACCGATTTCATTCGCTAGAAAGGAACTTTTCATAGAAGTGTAAGTAATCATTCGGAAGCTGAAACCTGAGGCTACAGCCTCATGCTGCCGGTTTCTCAAAACATCCCTTCATAACGCTGTGGCATCCCCGAAAATCATGTTTCGCACTCACCTTTCGCCTTCAATTTTATCATGTGTTTAACTTGCTGGAAGCTAAAAAGCAGGTCAATGTGTAGAGAAATTTTCGTAGTATTCTAAATGACCGTTTTATCTGGAGTTTCCTTGGATACGGAGGAAAAATTAAAAAATGGATAACAAAATACCGATCGTCCCGCTCCGCTTTTGCCACGGCACTCGCTTTGTCTAGTAGTCGGTAAACAACGTTGATAAAAATGTGAAACTCGGTCTTATTTTCCCTGCTATACCGTATTTCCAGAAAATAAGCACATCACTAGAATCAGGAAACAATGCGCTATCAGATGATTACTAATAGTCTAAGAAAGAGCTTTGTCCGGCGAGGTTTAAAGCACAAATCAAAAAACCACTGGAGATCAAAAGATCAAAGGAGCTTCCTAAAAACGTGGGGATGTAGCCACAAGTCTCAGTTTCTAATGGTTACTAACACTCCTATGAAAATTTCTTTTCCAGCGAATGAGATCAGTTTTTTCGGTTGTTTCGTCCTAGTCAGAAAGAACCGAAAATTCCTCATTAGACCGTAATACACAGATGAACGTCTCACTTGATGTAAGATATCTGGACGATACTCCGCTGGATCTTTCTTATTTTTCCTAGAAAAGCAGCATGTCTATCGCTACATAAAATGACGTAATCCTTTCCTACCTGAAATCTGCTGATATGTAGTAAAACAAACAAGTACAACGGACCAGATCAAAGAGCTATGACAGCCCCCACACTTCCAGCAAACTTAACAACTGGGTGAGAAGAGCGCGAAACGAAAATATGAGATACCTTCCCGGATTCAAGACTACATCCTTCAAGAACCACATACAGTATCCTCTTCCTTTCCACAGTTTCATCTGTCTTCATACGTTTCACGTCTGGTGGAGCAACTGTATCATATTCCTCTGACATTCTGCGAATTATAAATTAGATTTGATCTAAAGCTTTCGACAAAACAACAAGACAAAGAGAGCAAACTTAAAACGCTTAGGAGTTGGTACGAGGCACAAAAAACCACAGAATTCAAGTCTGCAGGAGATTTATTTACATATTTTCGACAATGAAGAGATTATGGAATGATTTCATGCTCTAATGCAAATGTTAA